GGGGTTTCACCATGTTGACCAGGATGGTCTCGATCTCTTGACCTCGTGATCCACCCGCCTCGGCCTCCCAAAGTGCTGGGATTACAGGCTTGAGCCACCGCGCCCGGCTATATATATTTTTAATAAAGGTCCAAGGAACTAAGTCGCTTCAAGAGTCATTCTGGATTCCTAGGTTTCCAAAACTTGCAGACTTCAAGAAGAGTGGGGACAACTACGCAGCAGGATAAATAATTCACACATTCCACCTTCTCTTGATACAGATAACATTTATACCTTATTTTCTGTTACTGCATAGCAAATCATCTCCGTAACAATCATTTATTTTACTCACAAATAATGCAATTGGGTCAAGACTCACTAGGGACTGCTCATCTGTGCTCCGTGTGCTTTCATTGGGGTGGTTCAGCTATGGCTACAGGATCTGCTTCTAAGATGGCCCACTCAGTGCCTGTTCATGGGCTTCCTTACAGCATGGCAACAAAGCTCTAGGAGCAAATGTTCTCAGGGGCAGGAAGCAGATGCCGTCAGTCTCTTAAGACCTGGGCCAGAAACTGGCTCAGTCATTTCACTGTATTCTACAGGTTTAAACTGACACACAGCCCAAACAGAATAAAAGGGAAGGGACACAGATCCTTACTTCTCAGTGGGGGAGTGTCAGAATGTGTGGCCATAATTTAAATCCAACACATGCTTCACAAGCCGAGAAGTAACATCAAGCAGCCTAGCCTGCCCCCAGTTCCTGCTCCCCAGATAAAACCACCTTCAATTTAATTTCTCTATCATTTATCTCCATGTTTCTACCTTCAGCAATTTAATTTCTCTAGTATTTATGCAGACTCACAGCAATGATAATAAATATGTAGGCCAGGCGCACTGGCTCATGCCTGTAGTCACATTTAGGGAGGCTGAGGCAGGCAGATTGCTTGAGCCCACAAGTTTGAGAGCAGCCTAGGCAACATAGCAAGACTCCATTGCTACAGAAAATAGAAAAATTAGCTGGGCGTGGTGGCGCTAGCCTGTAGTTCTAGCCAGTTGGTCAGGGATGAAGTGCAAGGATCATCTGACCCCAGGGAGTATTGAGGCTGCAGAGAGCCACGACCATACCACTACACTCCAACGTTAGCAACAGAATGAGTCTCCTTCTCAAAAGAAAAAAAAATTAAGTATGCAATGTTTACATTACAGGAAACATTTTAAGCAAAATACAATAAAACATGCTTATGCTCTGATTTCTTGGTTTTTCACTTTCAGATACTACATATTCTGAAGAGGTGAAAAAATTATTCACCTCTTCAGTCCAAATAATATATTTTGACTACAATTAACTTTTTTACTGGAATTTTTTTCAAGTGCTTTTTTCTAGACTTAGTCTTCCCATACTTTCCAACAGTACTATTAATATAAATGTTTCTCAATCCAATTTTTAAATATTTAGACTTGTCAGCCTACCTTACATTTGTCCAGGAGCCCTCTGTCTGGCCCTAATCTGGGCTCTCTGGACAGGTAACAACAAGGAGGCAACGTTAGGAATGTGAAAACAAATACATTGCAAATATTTTCAGTTAATTAGTTCTGCAGCTACTAAATTTATGTTCAAATGAGTAAAGTCATAGAACAGTGAGTTACCCCTGTGATGGAGAACATGAAACCCCTTTAATCCTTCACACTGGGCCAAGACAGTAAGTAAAGTTGAATATATGCTGAACAGACTATCAAAATCTTCCTAAACTTACTAAGAAACTGCATTCTACCTATTCTAGGCCAGATCGATTTTTTATATCCCTCAAATGGGTACAATAGGCAGTTACAGAACTACTCCCAATTTGGCAAGATCCAGAATTTCCTTTAGAGGCTCTGGTGCCAAAGCCTGAGGCCTGCTGCTCTTTGCAAGGCTCCAGATTTTGATCAGCAGATCCCTAGGGAACCAATCAGACTCACAGCAATCCAAAGTACGCAGGCCGGGTGCACTGGCTCATGCCCGTAATCACAACACTTAGGGAGGCTGAGGCAAGCAGATCGCTTGAGTCCACGAGTTTGAGAGTAGCCTAGACAACATAGCAAGACTCCATTACTACAGAAAACACAAAAAGAGCCGGGCGTGGGGGCGATAGCCTGTAGTCCCAGCTACTTGGTCGGGGATGGGGTGCGAGGATCATCTGACCTCGGGGAGGTCGAGGCTGCAGTAAGCCGAGACCGTGCCACTGCACTCCAACCTGGCGACAGAATGAGACCCTTCTCAAAAAAAAAAAAAATTGTTTAAGTATGCAAATTTTCATTACAGATAACATTTTAGGCAAAATGCAATAAAACTTTTTTTTTTTTTTTTAAAGACGGGGGTTTCACCATGTTGGTCAGGCTGGTCTTGAACTCCCGACCTCAGGTGATCCGCCCGCCTCGGCCTCCCAGAGTGCTGGGATTACAGGCGTGAGCCACTGCGCCC